ACCCACCCGGCCGAGCCCCTCTGCCCCGCAGGGACAGGTGCAGCGACAGGTCAGACGCCGGTGGACGCGGAGGCACCTCCGGCATTCCCCAACGTGGAGGGACTCAGGAGCAAACTTGGAGCCAGTTTCATGATGGGGTCGGGCTGCGGTCCAGGAGGCGGGGGCGCGGGCCAGGGGACCGGGGTTGGGTCGGGCCAGCTGGAGAGCCTCAGCCGGGTAAACCGCAGAGCCACGCTGGGCGGCTGCGCTCACGGGCTGAGCGCTGACTACAGCAGACCTCGAGGTGCCAGAGCAAGGAATCCACGCGGGCCACTCAGGAGTGTCCACTGTCCCTTTTTTGGGACGTGGCTCGAAGGCTTCACGGCCCTTTGCGCCCACGTGAGGAACCTCTGTCTCTGAGGTGCGCTCAGAGCTGCTCAGAAGTACCGTGGGAAGAACTGCGCACCCCCGCAGCGTCCCGAGTGAGGCAGGGCTGCCACACCCCTCCCCCCACGTCTGGTTCCACATGGGAGCTGGAACTGCAAGTCGGGGGACCAGAGAGCCCCCAAGCCCCCGCTGGGTCTTCTCCCCATCTCTTCCTGAGTGCGCATCCTGCGGAAGGCTGCCTCGCTCCCATCTGTCCCTGTCGCTTAGGGGGAAGGTGAGTCTCCTCTGACGCGCCACCTGTTAAGCTTCCCTCCAGCCTCTCCAGAGCCCCCTGGGACAGCCATGAGCTCAGGTGGCGGGCGCTGGGCGGCTCTGGCCTCTGGAGTTCCCTGTCCTCACCTTCAGTCTGGCCCTGGACCCCAGACTCCAACGACTGCCCAGTTCTGCTCACTCGGCCGCCACCTTCGCCCCGCAGCAGACGTAACCACACTTGGCCCGGCGAGGGGTCTTTCCCGGAGCCTGCACAGTCAGCTGCCTCCTGGCCCGTGGTCCTCCGGCCGCGGCTGTCTGGCTCTCTGCCTGTCCATCCCTCGCCTCAGGGCCCTGCTTCCCTGCTGGACGCTGTCCCCCAGCATCCAGGGCCCTCCTGTCTGCACGCAGGGCCCCGCCACCCTTCACTGTGCCTACCCTTCTTTCTGCTCCTTCTTTTCCTTTCCTTCTGCCCAGTCATTTGGACCAGCGTGTCCACCCTGAGACCCCTAGACCCTGGAAAGCCGAGCACCAGCCAGGCTTGGTATCCCAATGCAAATGGACCTCAGCAGGCCAGCTCGTGCCTCCAGGGAGTGTCAAAAGCTGGGACTTTGGACTCAAAGAGACTGTACCAGCTGCGACCTTGGGTAGATAAAGCGGGGGTTAAAATAATTCTACTTCCTCCTGGGTTGCTGCTTATTTAAGCGAGGTAATATACGTTAAGTGCTTTTGTCCAGCACGCAGTGAGTGCTCAATAAATGCTCACCAACTAACTCTCGCAGAGTGAGGTAAGCGATCGCTGAGCGAACATTCCGCAGGCGGTGGGGACCCACTGCTGGTTCTGGCGGGGACAGTAATGTGGTAGATGCAGGTAGGTAGGATGGGGAAGGTCTGAGAAAGAGACAGTTTACAGAGAGCAAAGAGCACGAGAAAGATTAGTACAGGCCAAAGATGGCATCTCGAATCGCCGGGGCCGGGGGCGAGATGGGCTTTTCATAAACAGGACGACTGGGCAGAGCAACTGGAAAAAGATAAAATTCCCTTCACAGTTCACACCACGCACCACAATAAACTCCGGAGAGACCGGGGGTTGAGACGTGCCACTCCAATCATACGAGCTCGCGAGGAAAACGAGGCGGGACCCTCTTGAACCTGGGTGTATTGTAGAGAAAGACTCTCCAACCATGACTCACATCCAGAGCTGATGAGTGACCGAGGCGTGTGACCACACGGAAAAAATGACACCCAATAGAAACACCAGAAACCGTGGAAAGACAATGGACCAACCAGGAGACAAAGGCCTAACGTCTCCTCCGACACCAAGAACGCTTTCAAAAGGGCCAGAAAACTGACGAAACGGGAAAAGACAGGAAAAAATGATTCTCAAAAAAGCTGTAAGAACGGCCCTTAAACATATGAAAGGTGCTCAGATTCACTCATAGTTAGAGAGATGCAAATTAACACACCCCGAGACCCCATTTCTCCTTTATCAGATGATGAATATTCAAAGCTGTGGACCAGCGCAGTCTGTAGGCGAGGCTGTGGCGAAACGCCCCCCCCCTCGCCCCCCACGCTGACGGGGAGGAACCCCCTTCTGGAGGGAAAGTGGCGGACGTAATGAACGACCTGCTCTCTCACCGCTGACCCAGCAACCCCAACTTCCAAGACTCTACCTGGAGGATGCAGCTCCAACAACGTGAAAATGCACGTGTACAAGGCCATTCACTCGACACTGCCTGAAACTGGAAGGTACTGGAAAAATCTCGATACCCCTCCCTAGGTAAGCGGGTAAAAACGAAGCATGGCGGGGCGCCCCCAGCGGGGGAAAGGGGCGAGCAGGCCTTCTGCTCACTGATAGGGTCTGTCTACAGGACACACTTAAGTGAAAAAAACCCAAGTGCAAAGAAGATCTGCATTATCCGGCCTGTACGTAAGAGGATGCAAGGAAAAAACTAACACATCTGTGCATTCATGCTAAAGAAATGCAAGAAGGAAAATGTAGGAGCTAACGAGGTCGGTGCCCACAGGGAGTGGGTGGGAATGGGGTGCAAAGAAGGGGAGCCAAGGGGCTGGGTTGGGGGGCGAGGGAACTGGCACTTCTCTGAGCCTCCTCTTGAATGGAGCCCAGACTCTCAGAACCCCGAGGTGACAGTCAGTCTCCGCTGCCAACCTGGCCAGGCCTGGTTGTCCTCAGTGACTCAACCAAACACCGACCTGGGTGTCACTGGGGCTGCTTTGGAGATGCGGCTCACGTCTGCAATGAACCGGCTTTAAGGAGGTTGCCTTTGACAATGGGGCCAGGCCTTGCCCCGCCAGCCGAAGGGCTCTGGGAGCAAGGTCAGAGATTCCGGCCCCGTGCTGCAGCGTCAGCTGGGGCTCGCCAGACCCTATAAGCCTGGAAGCCGACACCTTGAAATTAATACTGTTAATATTTTTTTTGGTTAAAGGGGAATTCAGCCATGTTTGCATCTTGAGCACTTGCGCGGTTTCATTGGTCAACCTAACTCCCTGGTGTGAATGTATATGCGTGTGTGTTAATATCTGTATCTGTAACTATCTGTATCTGTACCCGTATCATCTACATCTCTCTTTGTACGCATCTTGGCTTCTAAGCACCATTCTTTAACAAAAGGAACCGGGGCTCCTTGGAGAAATGGCAGGGTCAGAAGATGTGCAAGATGAGCCTGAAACATCTTGTGATACCAGAAAGAAAGGAAGTGCCCCCAAGAGGATGGGGGTATGTCAAAAGGACACAAAAGCCGGTTTGAAGTGCTCTCATGGCCAAAGCTGGGACAATTTAAGGACGCTTGTGATGACATTGAAGTCACCCAGATAATCGGGGATAACATCCCCACCTCAAGGTCAGCGGGCTACCAACCTCAGTTCCGTCTGCAATTCGCTTCCCCTTTGCCATGTAACGTAACACATGCCACGCAATGTAACAGGTCACACGATGTAACATAAATGTAACGTATGCCACATAATGTAATAGATGCCACGTAGTATAACATGTCATACAATGTAACATACGTCACCTACTGTCACATGTCATGTCATGTAACATGGTTCAGGTTCCAGGGATTAGAATGGAAGTCTCCGGCTGTGATCATGCCCAGCCCAGGCCCAGGGGCCGGAGGCCCCAGCTGCCTTGCTGAGACGCTGTGATAATGGGGGCTTCTGCTTCTCGCTCCCTCAATTAACTTGGTTTTCCTTTTAAATAAAATGAATTTCCTAGCAACCTCCCCCCGCCCAGTGACTCTACGTCCAGCTGTCTCACCGTGGGCTCTGAGGCTGCAGAGCCCCGAGGGCCCGGGGGTGACTGGGACATGTCCCTGCTGCCGCTCCCCAGTGTCACCGGTTTGGAACCCGTCCACACAGACCTCTGTCACTCGCCTGAGTGCGCTTCTCCAGCCCACGGTGCGGTCCCCCTGTCCTTACCAGGGTCTTTAACTCGAACAAACTCGCTCAGGGGGGCGCAGGTGAGCTCCCCTGGAGAACAGGCTGCTCTGGTTTTTGGCAGCCTGCCCTCCACCTCGCCCCGCTATTTCTTACTCATGATTAATTTTTCAGCTTAGAAAATGAAGCCTCGAGGTCTCCAAAGAGGCCTTGGGGTGCAGAGAAGGCCGAGGAGGGCGACTCTGGTGGCTCCGGGGCTCCCGTCGGCCTCTCCCCTTCCTTGCCTCTTCCCACCAGGTCTGATCCAGGACTAGGACTGCAGGGCCTGGGCCGGAGTGGGGGGCTCAACCCCCCGAGGGGCAAGGGAGGCAGCAGACGAGCCCCGTGGGGCGGAAGGGGGCATTTCGGCAGAATTACCTGGTCACGAAGGGGAAGGGGATCTGTGTCAGACGTCCTCAATGTGGAGCTTTCAGCCACGCCCCCCAGGGACGGTCTCCTCAAGTCCCCCGGGAGCTCTGAGCCCCGGACATGGCGGGAAGGACAGCCTCGGCCTGACCACGGGACCAAGTGAACCAGCGGGGACACCCCTGCAAGCTGGGGCTCCTGTCACAGAGACTCGGCCACCTGAGGCCTCTGGGCTCGAGGCCGGGCTCGCCTCAGTCCCCAGAGCCCTGCTCCTGGATTGGCTACAGGCACCTCAGACTGGACATGGCTCAGACGAGACCCTCTATCTCTTGCCGACTCAAGGACCCCTGTACCAGACCCCTGGTCGCCACAAATACACCTCCTCCTGCCCCTCACTGTCCCCACGCACCTGTCACTGGGCCCTCATCCCCCTCGACCTCTCCCCCGCCCATGGCCACGTCCCGTCACCCTGGGCTGTGGTGAAGAACCCCTCACCGTGGCCTCGAGTGGAATCTGGGCTCTGCGGCCCCAAGGCCCCCTCCCCCCAGCCATGTCCCTCCCATCAGGGGACACACGGGACTCACTCGATGGTCGTGTTCCAGTCACACCACAGCGTCCTCTCGATGGCCTCCATGTCCACCCTGAACTGGGAGAGGCAGAGCTCCTGGAGGAGGGCACCGTGGTCGGCGTCCTGGCAGGCGGTGGCCACGAAGGGGAGATGCACTGCAATGACAGCGTGTGGGGACTGTCACCCTCTGGCCTCGCCGCCTGCCCGCCCCATGCTGGGCTCTCCAGCCAGCACATCCGTCAGGGAGGCGCTCCCGTCCAGAGCCACCTGGTTGCTGCCCTGGGTCTGTGAGCACCTGGATGAGGGCCACACCCCTCCCCCCCCTTTGCTGGTAGAGACCGTCCCTTGCAGCGAGAGTGTGCGGCACGGTGGCACCAGGCACAGGGCCGGATAGGCACGCGCTGTTTCATCCTCACCCGACCCGACGTGTTCCCACCTCCACCTCACAGACGTGGAAACTGAGGCCATGAGAAAGACTCACTGGGACCAAGCCCAGGCTCCTCACCTCGATGCCACCAGGCCCCTGGCCCCGGGTGAGGAGCAGGAGTCACCACCACCCCGGGGGCAGCAGGACAGGGCACCTGGGGCCGGGCTCACCACCCCTGGGAGCCCGCAGCTCACCCCCCCGTGCTGGACACCTGCCAGTTATGAACCGAGCTGACGCCCTGGGACGTGGCGCGTTCGACCTCCCACCTTGATAGACGCACGACCCAAACCGAGCAGCTGTTGGCTTAGCACGCGCTGCACAAATCGAAATTCGCCGTCGCCCGGAGCCTGCACTGGCGCTGGCGGACGCGGGGCAGGCGGGCGGGGACGCTCCTCCTGGGCCGTCTCTTCACTGCAGCCCCCCGCCCCCTGCTTGCTCAGCCTGTCTGTGGGGCAGGTGGGGGCGGGCGCCCTCCACGGGCTGTTTAGGGCCGCCTGCCGGCTCCCCCACCGCCCCCAGGCTGTGCTGGCCCCAGCCCAGTGGCGGGGACACCTGCCCCACCCAGACACCCCAAGGAAGCCCACCTGTGGGACGGGGGCAGCGCCGAGGCTCTGTCTGGGGAGGAACTCAAGCTGCCCTTCGGCCTCATCCGAGGATCGTGCACCCCGCACAGTCCCCATGGCTCCCGGCACCTCCGTCCCCTACAGGGTGCCTTTCCCTGCAAAGCCCAGGCCCAGATCCAGCCGCCCTCCTCCTGCCTCCTCGCCCGAGGTCCCGGCCGCCCCAAACACACCGCCCCAGCCCACTTCCTCCACGTGTCACTTAGGCGGCAGAAAGTTTTTTCTTCTCTGAGAGGCGTGTTGCCACCCTGTCACCCCCCCCTTATCTGACCCACGTGTGGGCCCCCCAGCACCTCTGCACATTAATATCCGTCAAGTCAGGGACCGGCGACGGCAGCTTTATCAGTGGACACTCTGCATGGGGGCGAGTCGCTGCCTTGGGCCGGCCAAGGAGGGACAGGAAGCTTGGCGGGCTCGCCTCCCGTTCTGGAAGGGTCAGTTTTGGGGTGATGAAGGCACATCTTGGGGTGGGCCCTCAGCTGCAGAGAAACCCGCTGGGGTGGACACGATGCTGGGGAAAATGTGACAAGGACGCTGGTGGCTCCCAGCCACCGGAGGACCAGGGGACAGAGGCCACCGACAGCCCAGCAGGGCCAGGCCCAGGTGCAGCGGCACCACCGCCGTCCCCAGCGGGGGGTGCCAGTGCAGCAGCTCTGAGGGGCCGTCCCCAGTCCACAGTCCTCCTGCGCGGTGGCCCCCGCGTATGCAGGTATCTCCTGAGTCCTCGTCCTCGGGGGGCCACACAGCAGGCCGCCGGCCCCACCCCGCCGGCCTCGCGGGAGCAGGACTGGCCCCTGCCCCGACCCTGGCCTGGCCCTGGCCTGGCCCCGCTCAGTGCTGCATCTCTCACCCGTCTCTCTGAGCCCCCTCTGCCCACCAAGGGCGGGACCCCTGCTCTGTGGGGATGGAGACCCCGCTTTCCTTCCTCTCTTGGGGAGCATAGCTCAGCCTTTCTCTGTCAGCGGGGGCGGGGGGCGGGGGGCTGGGAACCGCGCCCCATTTGTGAGCAGGAGCAAGACAGACTTTTCTTCCATCAGCCAGATGTGGCTTCTTTCACTGGAAAGAGAGACAAGATGACAGTTGGAAAACCAGCTGTTTGGGTTCTACTCCCGTGTGACCGCAAACTGAATCATCCATCACTCATCTTCAAACGGCCGGGCGGGGCGGACGCGTTCCTCCCCGTGTGACGGCGTGTGACAGCGTGTCGGGGCAGCGGCCCCCGCCGTCTGCGCTGCCTCGGGAAGCGGCTCAGAGAAACGGCTCCCTCCCCCCGCAGCGGGAATGGCCCCGGGATGGAGGGTGAATGGCAGCAGCCCGGAGGCCGTAGGGTCCCTCGGGCACAGTGACGGCGACGGACAGACAGGGCCACAGCGTGGCTGAGTCTAGGAGAGCCAGGACCGATGGCCGTCATCTTAGGCCACCCCTGGTCTGGGCCTGCACCCCTGGCAGGACAGCCCACCCGGTCACAGAGAGAGAAGCACGGACTCCAAATTGTCACCCTCCCGAGCTGGGGGGAGGCTGGGATGAGGTGGGGGCTGGGGGCTGAAACGGAGCCCCCAGGGAGGCCCGAGAACTGGGGGGCCGAGGGCTCTCGTGCCTCCAGGGACCCCCCACACCCCGACCTTGCTGGCCAGGCACAGAGGAGGCCTCATGGGGCTCGGGGCTCGGGCTGCCCTCTTCCCCTCGCCGGCCACAGTTTCTTGATCTGAGAAATGGGAACCTCAAAAAGAGGGGTCCACCCCTGTGGGGTTTCAGGGTGAGCCTCCCTCGGCAACTCACAGGACGCTCGGGGCCTCTGACCCCAGGGGCCGGCAGGGCGGGAGGGCACTTTCGGAGGTAGATACAGATGGCACTGTCTCGAGTCCCACGGGGGTACACGTGGGTCGGGGCCCTCCGACCTGTACCCTTTGTGTACGTTCAGTCACTCTGTCAAGCAGACCTCACTGAAGCTTTTTGAAAACAAAGGAAGTGTCCACGGCGGGGTGTTGCTGCGGGGTGTCGCGCGGGTGATCGGCATCTTCTGACTTGCTTGCTGTGTTTTCCACAGGCTTGAAACATGTCGTTGGTTAGATGGCATCTCTGTGTTCCGGGCGGCGGTTGCTCTGCGGATCGTTGGAAGCCCCGACTCCGCAGGTTCTTGCAGCTCCGGGCCAGCAGGGCGAGAACCACCCGCTCCCGAGACTCTCCTGGTTCGGGAGCCGAACCCCCAGGAAGCTACCCGGCTGCCTGCGCCTGTGCCTGGGGGGCCCCCGGGAATGACGTAAACAGAGCTCGGTTCGAACACGTCGCCCTCGGCCTCCCTCTGCCTATTCCCAAAACAGAAAACCAAAACCCAAACAAACCACAACAAATGGGAAAGAAAAACGACGTGTGTCCAGCACGAACTCCTCAGCCGTCCAGGCCGCATGGCCTGTCGCCTCCTCCGCCCGGCACGGCGCGTGGCTCGCTGGCGGTGTTCATCATGCCACGTGGTCACGGCCAGGAAAACCCTTCGCCAGCTGGCTGTGGACCCCGAGCCCACGCCTCAGCCCCACACGGCCTTGGCGCTCAGCAGGCTTCTGTTGAAATTTGGGGGCTGACGGCACCCTCACTGAAGGAGCAAATGTGCTGGGGGACGCCCCACTTCTGGCCGCTGACGGCAAACCTCCTGGGTCTCCTCTGGCTTCGAGAAGCTCAGAGCGGTTTGGGCCTCAGGTGCCGCACCCCGGTCTCTGAGCTGGTTCTCTCCTCCCCCGCGAGGCGCTCTGTGCACCCTGTCTTCCCGCAGTGGTCACGTCTCGGTACCTTCGACACCTGTGTCTCTGTCAACAGCCACCACTTTACTCTTTTCAGAAGCAAGTTGGGTACAAGTGGATAGAACGTAGATCAGGATCTAGATCGGTCACACACCACGTCCAGAACACTCGCTGCTTCCCCGCCCACGGCCACATGTGGGGAAAGCCCGGTCCGGGGTGGTGACAACCGATTCGCACGGCCAGGCCCTGTCCTAAGCCTTCTTCAGGCATTCGCCTACTTAATCCGCACAAATACCCCCTATGGTATTCGTCTCTCATTTGACACAGGGGACAGAGGGGCCCAGAGAGGTTAAGCGACCTGCCTGGAGTCGCACAGCTCAGGGACGTGGAGCTGGAGGCAATTCCTGGCACGTGCACCTCTGAATATATGGGGGAGACAGCGAGGGTGGCAGGCACGGCAGACCCGAGGCCATCGCGCTCCCTGCAACCACTGGTGTCCTTAAGGGACACGCGATGCCATCAGAGGAGGGCCGAAGGACCTTCTTGATTTTATAAAGAAAACTTCGCTCTCCCCTGTTGAAGAGGTGGGTCCCTTTCTGCAGAGCGCTATGCAGTGCGGGTCACAGGTGGGGAACAAATACTTCGCTGGGCAGCGACTGGAGGAGCACGGGCCAGGCACCCGCGCGACAGGTGTGGGACCAGGAGGGTCTGGAGGGACCTTTCCAGAGGCGAAGGGCGCAGCCCCGAGGGCGCTCCTGGCCTGCTGAGCCGCTCCTGCCGCCCGCTGCCTGATTCTCCTGACCCGGACGCCGGGTCACCATGTGCCATGCTCACTGGGCCCGAGGCCCCTGCGGCAGGCCCTGTGTGGGCTGCCGTGGCCTGTCCCAGCATCCCCCACGTGGTCCCCGGGCGTCTCGCCCCCGTGGTCTCTCTCTGTCACGCTGACCAGCTGACCATCCTCTAGAGCCAAAGCCCCTCCCCAAGACGCTTCCCTCTCCCCAGCTTAGTGTCCTGCGCTTCTGTTCTGTTCTGGTTCTGGCCCTCCCGCCCCCAAGAAGCTCTGTCGCTGGCAAGAGGCATTCCCGCCCACGGCCACCCTCCGGGCAGCCGGTCAGGGGCCGAGAGAAGAGGGGAGTGGTCTTTCACGCCCCCCTGAAGCGTGCTTGCTCCAGCGAAGGCTGTGCCAAGCAGGTTTCCCCGCTGCCACCTGATTTGATCCTCCTGGTCAAGCTGCGGTTCTGGTCCCCTACGTCCTTGCTCTGGCCCAGAGAGTCTGTGTCCGTCTGTCCCTCCTCCAGCTGAAGTGCCTGCTCTGTGCTGGATGTGGGGACCTGTTACTGTGTCCCCTGAATCCATAAGAAAATGGGACGCTAAGTCAGGTCGAAAACGAGTGACATCCAAAAGGCAGGCAGTGGGGCCGGGCAACATAAGACTGAAAGATGATCGACCACGATGTCGCCCCCGACAAAGTCAAAGCCCGCCTGGAAAGCGACGTGGGTGCCCCACACCTCTCAGGACGGCCCCTGTCACAGGGAGTTAAGTGACGCAGGGCGTGGAGAAGGCGGGGCCCCATGCTCGGTGCGGGGAGCGCCCAGTGGTGCAGCTGCAGAGGGAACAGGGTGGCAGGGCCTCCGAAACGAAACTCAGGATCATCGCATGATCCAGCGGTCCCACGTCCGGTCTACACACAGAGAACTGAAAGCAGGCCTCACGAAGACACCGCCCACGGTCACGGTGGCATCACTCAGCGGTCAAAAGACAGGAACAACCGGAGCGTCCACCGACAGATGGACACACAGATGTGGTCCATCCACAGTGGAACAGAACTCAGCCTTGAAAAAGGAAATCCCATCACATGCCACGACATGGGTGAACCCTGAGGACACTGTGCCGAGTGGCACACACCAGTCCCAAAAGACAAACACGCACGATCCCACTCATCCGAGGCACCTGTAGCAGGTGAACCACAGAGACAGGAAGCAGCAAGGCGGGTGCCAGGCGCTGGGTGGTGGGTGGGCAGTTTGTGTCCCATGGGTTGAGCTACGGTTTGGGAAGAGGAGAAGGTTCTAGAGAGGGCAGAGGTGGTGGCTGCAGAACAATGTAAATGTGTTCATGCCGCTGAACTGTGCACTTGAAATGGTCAAGATGGTAAGTTTTATGATACGTGTATTTTATGATAATTAAAAAAGCAATGGCTGGGATTAAGGGGGGTTCCATTATGAGAACTCGCCACGCAGATGTGGCCGGCGGGGGCTATGCGGGACTTCTGCCCCCACCTCCCCCGGCGCTGAGCCCACAGAAACGCCACCAGAGAAGACGGCCAGC